AGGTAAGTGATTGGGGAGAAATACCTAATATTTGGTAAAAGAAAAAGAGAACAACGAAAGGAACAGGAGAATGACGACTGAACCGCCGCTACACAGACTTAGGCCACATTTGTTAAAAAACTCCTCTGTAAATAGTCCAGTATTTGGAAAACGTTCTAGTGTATTTGCAAGTAGTTGAAGTTAAAATAAACTTCTTCTTTAAGAAAAATATGGAAAAACATGTACTGCCTTTAAAAAAACAAACCTTAACTGCGCATTATACAGGAAAAATACAATAACCAAACTCAAAATAAACCCATTTCTCTACCTAAATAGTACAATCTTCAAAAAACTGCTGCTGCTACATAAGGAATAATTTTACATATTCACATAAACACTTTCTTTAACCTAAAAATCAGAAAAAAAATAGTAGGTTCCAAGACAAATAAAAGTAACTTTTACTCGATAAGGAACAAAAGTAGTAAACTGAAAAGTTGAACACAATAACACATCTCGGCTAATAAGTCAGCGAGGGAACTAAATTTCAAAAAAATTCAGCAAGCACTTATTGCCAGAATTTCGGCGAACAGAAAGTCACCAAAATCACCACAATCTCCCACAGCAAAGCTGGTAAAAACGCCCTCATATAAACCCAGATCAACACTTGCCCAGGTTGCCAGTCGGCCATGTTGCCATAATCCTAGTCCTTGCGCGAAAAATATTTCCACACCAAATTGAAAAAAAAACTAAATTATCAAGTGTCTGTCTATAACAGCAAATAAACTAAATTATCAAGTGTCTGTCTATAACAGCAAATAAAATGGGGAAATATGGACAAAATATTTTCCCTATTTTGAATGTGAAACAGAACCTGCCTTTACAGTTGCAAATTCACATCAAACTAACTCGCATAACGGGTCACAAAATCAACAAAAATAAAAACAGTACCAACGACTAATTATACAAAGAGATCTAAGAGCTTTGAGCAGCAAATTTATTCGCCAAAACTTGTTGAATGCTTCTGCCGAATTGCGCTCATGGTCACAAGTTTCCTGCAACTCTCATATCCACCAAAAAGTGATCCATTATTGGTCCAGCGAAATACAAAAAATGCAGTGAATTTGACTTCTGCAGAATAAAGCATTCGATTGCTCTTAAGACCTAAAATCTGCTCTTCATCGTTGTGATTCTGAATAACTGGAAAACAAGACTATAAAAATCGGGAAAAAATTTTGTACAGTTGTCTCACTGTTTTCCGAACATTCACGAAAGCTTCCTTTTTACGGGTGAGGTTTGAAAAAAAGGTTTTAAAAATTTCGATCTCCCAGTCACCGTAATCCAAAACAACGATGGTGTTCACCTAACAAAACACTTAGTGAGCCTTTTTAAAATAAGCACCGAAAAAAAAAAGAAGGAAACCAAAGCCTTTCTGAGCTATGGAAGAAAAAACAAAAGTACGAATAAAAGTGCTGTAAGGCTCCTCTCTCTTTCGCCACTGTACATTATTTTGACAGAACTTATTGAAACTTATACAAGAAACCGAGTTACGAAGTCTTTCTAGAACGCATACTTTATTGGGTACCTTTTAAGGGTGAAAGTGATGTAACGACAAATATACCTCTACGACTACGTTTTGTACCCGTTCAAAGTACAAATTAGTTTTGAACACTAGCTAAAATTTTTAAATTATAGTAACCCTGAGCTGTGGCGGCACAAGACTAATTTATGTGAATACTTCCTCTGTCCAATATTTAAGAGTGTACAAGTCCTATGCTTCAGAAATTTAAAGCCCTCTGATGAGCAAAATTTAAAATTACT